AAAATCGTGCACCTATGGATGAGGACAGTGGGTGGGGAGTGAGGGTGGAGGGTGGGGCGGGAACTGAGAGGAGGGGAGTTATGGGGGGAAAAAAGAGGAACAAATGTAATAAACTGAACAATAAAGATTTAATTAAAAAAAAAATTTTCTCAGTGAAAACCTTCAACAAAAACAAGATAATCCTGAATATGTAGGTGTTTATTATTTTTAATGCAAAAGATGCTAATTAAATGTTTACAAATGCTAAAAAAACAAAACAAAACAAAACCTAAGCCAAATGGCTATCTTTTTTTTTAATGTATTTTTATTGATTTCAGAGAGGAAAAGAGAGGGAGACATGAATAGAAATACCAATGATGAGAGAGAATCACTGATCAGCTGCCTCCTGTATGCCCCCCACTGGGGATTGAGCCCACCACCAGGGCATGTGCCCTGAGCAGGAACTGAACTGTGACCTCTTGCTTCATAGGTCAACTACTGAGCTGGCTGGGCAAATGGCTATCAATCTTACCACATCGCTCCACTACATCTACAATTTCCCCCATATATAGCCTAATTAGTGATTTCTCCAATTAATTGAAGCATATCTGATGATATTTTAATCTCTTTGGTTCACTGTGGTTTAAATATTACCTGGCATTTACCCAAATTAAATATGGCTTAATAGTGACTACTAATACCAAATATGCTAATTATGATATATATAATATCAATAAATAAGTAGTATGGAGATAATACAAAAGTGTTTTATAAATGATCCTTGGCCAAATAAAATCTAGTTATTTTCCAAATGAGATTAAACATGATTGTGAAAAATGCTTTGACTGTATAATGAGACAAGCAAGATAAAAGATTTATCTTTAAAGTTATTTACTGAAATATTAATACTCTAATTTTCAAATAAATCATTAACACATATGCATTTTACATAAATTAAAAATATGAGATTCAATGTAATTGGATTAAAATATCTGAGGTTCACCTTAAGTGAAGAATACTTACTCTTAGCTGAGTTCGAAGTTTGGGTATCTCCTTCACTTTCTCTTCAAGTTCATCATTTTGATTTGTTAATTTAACTAGCTCTTCAGCCATTATGGAGCGTGTTTTTTCTAAACTGCCAATTTCTACCTGAGAAACATTATCAGAAAGAAATTTAGACAAAAATATAACTCGTTTAATGTTGCTACTAATGTAAACATATTTAATGTGTTATTTTTAAAGAAAAATGTAACAGCATATAACCATGAGGTAGCTCTTAAGTAAAAGGAAATAGTGACAAAAAAAAGGTTTCAACTTTCTTCAGAGGTGCACCACTGATAGGGTGTACCATGAAAGACAAAGAACTAAAGAGAATTCAATCATCTGCAACCTTATATTTTTATCTACTCTAAGGAAATAGCATTTCAGTTATTCTAAATTACTACAAAATCCCTGAGAAATAAAACCATACTTTAGTGTATCTCCAACTGTGTTGATCATATTGACAGACTACCAAAAATGTTCATTTGGTCCCTCAAGCATAGCATTCTGGGCTACCTAAACATAAGTATTAAGATTATTCTAACCTATTTTTTCCCAATTCAAGATCTTCTTTAATTGAGTAATATTTTCAACTTATTAAAGTCATACAAAGGGAATAAATGAGGAAAGTTTTACTTATGAGTGTATCAAGTTTAACAAAAAATAGTTTAAACGTTTTAACATTTCTCACTACATTATATTTTAAAAGGCAAGATATGATGAGTGGCTCCTCCCTTCCCACTTACAATGTTTACTTTCATGTGCACAAGGTTGTAGTCTCTCTACTCCAGCGGTTCTCAACCTGTGGGTCGCGACCCCTTTGGCGGGCGAACGACCCTTTCACAGGGGTCGCCTAAGACCATCCTGCATATCAGATATTTACATTATGATTCATAACAGTAGCAACATTACAGTTATGAAGTAGCAACGGAAATAATTTTATGGTTGGGTCACAACATGAGGAACTGTATTTAAAGGGCCAGAAGGTTGAGAACCACTGCTCTATTCATTCCTCACGGGAAGTCAGAGCAACTTATATGAGTGGTAAATCCAGGAAGAATAAAATCGGTATGCTCAAATCAGAAGCTTCCTTTTTTTAAAACTATGTTTTATTTATTGATTTTTTAAAGAGGGCAGAAGGGAGAGGGAGAGAGAGAGAAACATCAATGATGAGAAAGAACCACTGATAGGCTGCCTCCTGAACACCCCACCCCTACTGGGGATCGAGCCCACAACCGGGGCCTGGGCCCTGACCAGTAATCAGAATGGTGACCTCTAGGTCCCTGATGGATGATCAATCACTAAGCCACACCAGCTGGGCAACAGCTTTTTTTTTTCAATGTGTGGAAAAGCTGCTTGAAAGGAGCCCTCTGCTCCCAGATGCCTAAGTCTTACCTGGGCATCTACCACACCTGGGAGGCCCACTCCAGCCCAGCATTTCCCGTGATGGAGGTAAGTAAGTCTCCCCAGTTCTGGCCCTCAGCAGGCTCACTTGGCTCTTATCCTTGGTGAATTTCTCCAACCAGCCCTTATCATTAACATAGGATACATTTTGGTCTTCACATGCCACTATTTCATTTTATTTCTAAACTTGCTCAGAATTCAGGTGAATATAAATTCAAGTATACTTATTGGCCCTCAAATTTTCACCTACTTCTATAGCGTATTTAATTTTTCCAATACCTGTAAATGAGTAATTTCTCCTTCCCTTAGTTGTAGCTGGGACTGTAGATTTTCGATAATGCTGGATCCTGCCCCCATCCTTACAGCCTCATAAAGATTGCTTCCACTTGCTGATACAGACATTGGTCCAAGTGAGAGATCATGAGGCTCATCCTATGTTAAGAAAACACACAGTTATTCAGATAGTACAGACTGTATGCCCTTATAAGGTTCAAACAAATGATCTGTCAATTCTTGCTTTAAAATGTCTACCTCTCAAAGGCAGAAAATCATCTATACTTCCTCAGTTTTACAAATATTCAGATGACTTGCCTATGGAATGGCAAGATCATGATGATAGGCTAACTGCTACCTGCATATTCCTTTTACCATTATTCAGTTTAGGAATAAGCACATATCCTACATAATAATGAGGTAATATGCAAATTAACCATCACTCCAACAAACAAGATGGCCGCCACAAGATGGCCAGCAGGGGAGGGCAGTTGGGAGGAACCAGGCCTGCAAGGGAGGGCAGTTGGGGGTGATCAGGCCTGCAAGGGAAGGCAGTTAGGGGTGACCAGGCTGGCAGGAGAAGGCAGTTCAGGGCAACCAGGAGGCCTGCAGAGGGCAGTTGGGAGTGACCAGGCCTGCTGGCGAGGGCAGTTGGGGGCAACGAGGCCGGCAGGGGAGGGCAGTTGGGGGTGGTCAGGCCTGCAGGGGAAGGCAGTTAGGGGCAACCAGGCCTGCAGGGGAGGGCAATTGGGAGGGACCAGGCCTGCAAGGGAGGGCAGTTAGGGGCAATCGGGCCGGCAGGGAATGGCAGTTGGGGGCAACCAGGCCTGCAGGGGAGAGTAGTTAGGGGCAAACAGGACTGCAGGGGAGGACAGTTGGGGGAGACCCAGGCCTGCAAGGGAGGGCAGTCAGGGGTGACCGGGCCAGCAGGGGAAGGCAGTTGGGGGCAACCAGGCCTGCAGGGGAGGGCAGTTAAGGGTGATCAGGCTGGCAGGCAGAGGCAGTTAGGAGCCAGCGGTCCAAGATTGTGAGAGAGATGTCTGACTGCCGGTTTAGGCCTGATCCCTGTAGGATTGGGCCTAAACCAGCAGTCCGACATCCCCCAAGTGGTCCCCAGTTGGAGAGGGTGCAGGCTGGGCTGAGGGAACCACCCCCACCCCTGTGCACGAATTTCATGCACCAGGCCACTAGTATGAACTAAAACATCACCTGAGACAGGAAAGATGTTTGCAGCCCTGCCATCTCAACTCCACTTATTGAACTTGATCGTGACATTGTGGGCGTACTAGAAACAGAAAATGGTTTCCGTTCCTTTAAGGAGTAAGAAAAAAATTCAGTTAGGATTAAGAGCGAAGTGGTAAATAAAAATACAAAGACTCATTCTAACTTCCTCATAAAATGTTACAGATATAACTTCTGAAGTCTTATCCTTGCAAGGCACAATATTTGGTAATCTGAAAGTATAGACAGACTTGGTCAAATCATCTAGGGCAGTGGTTCTCAATCTTCCTAATGCCACGACCCTTTAATATAGTTCCTCATGTTATGGTGACCCCCAATTTCATTGTTACAAATTGAACATAATTAAAGCATAGTGACTAATCACAAAAACAATATGCAATTATATATGTGTTTTCCGATGGTCTTAGGCGACCCCTGTGAAAGGGTCGTTCGACCCCCAAAGGAGTCGCAACCCACAGGTTGAGAACCGCTGATCTAGGCACTCATGTATATTGCAACAACATAATCTGATTTATTTTTAATGGAATGAAAATGTATTTTTTAAAACGTATTTCTTTTATTGATTTCAGAGAGGAAGGGAGAGGGAGAAATAGAAACATCAATTATGGGAGAGAATCATTGATCAGCTGCCTCCTGCATGCCCCCCACTGGGGACTGAGCCCGAAACCCAGGCATGTGCCCTTGGCTGGAACTGAACCCAGGACCCTTCAGTCCACAGGCCGACGCTCTATCCACTGAGCCAAACCAGCTAGGGCGAAAATGTTCTTGTTAAAACAATTATATGAACTCACTGCTTCCTATTATATAACCTATTTCTTCCTCTGTTGTTGTTCTTAATCCTCACCCGAGGATATTTTTTCCATTGATTTTTTGAGAGAGTAGAAGGAAGGGAGGAAGGGGGAGAGGGAGAGAATGAAAGAGACAGAGAAACATTGATGTAAGAGAGACACATCAATTGGCTGCCCCAGCACACAGCCCAATTAGGGCTAGGGATTTAACCTGCAACCCAGGTACATGCCCTTGACTGGGAATTGAACCTTCAGTGCATGAGCTGATGCTATAACCACTGAGACACAACAGCCAGGGCAGACTAAACCTCTTTCTTTCTTTTTTTTTTTAAATTGATTTCAGAGAGGAAGGGAAAGGGAGAGGGAGAGAGGGAGAGGGAGAGAGACATCAATGATGAGAGAGAATCGTTGATCGGCTGCTCCTGCATGCCCCAAACACCAGGGATTGAGCCCGCAACCTGGGCCTGTGCCCTGTCCGGGAATTGAACTGTGACCTCCTGGTTCATAGGTTGAGCCTCAACCACTGAGCCATGCTAGTGGGGGTAAACCTGTTTCCTTAGAATAAGATTACCAATGAGTTTTATAAACCATAAAAAGTTTCTGGCTTATCTACTTTATTTTTAGTGTATTTTTTAAAATTCCAAATAAATTTAAAAGGTAATTTCAATGTTGACACAGGTAGTTTCTATATATTATGCTAACTACCGAGTACATGCCAATACTTTAAATATAGGAAACTCACTTTTAAAAAGAGGTTCTACAATTCAAATCCTAGAAATCACAGATCTGTTTGGATAAACTCAAAATATTTTGGATCTACTCTGAACAAGACACTGATTACATTATTAGGGTTCATCATCCTACTGATTTTAGACATAAGAAATGTTATTTATAAAGTGCAACTAAAATTACAAAACAATGATTAATCACAACAGCTACTAACCGGTTACACCAAAAAATTCAATACCTTTTCTTTTATTGCTTCTTGAGTAAAAATGGCTTTCTTCCTTTCTTGTTCAACTTTCATTTTCTCCATTTCTAACTGACTGTTCAACAGTGTCTAATGGACAGAAATACAGTTAGATAATTCCTGTACTAAATCATCCCCAAAAGTCAATTTCAAAATTAGGAGCATAAAGTATATACCTAGTTGTCTTACTACTAAAGAGCAAGTCCCAAAAGCAGTAAGTTCATTCATTTCATCTTGTCATTACTTTGCTACCATCCCCTAGCCCTAAGAGGTGAGTGAACAACTAACAGAAATACCTTTTCTTTCCTTGTCTCTTCAAGTGTTCTCACATAATCATCTTTTAGGTTTTCTAATTCAACCTGGTACCTATTAAGCCAAAGGAAACGAAACAAAACAATAAAGATGATAGTACAGACTATTAAAAACTCACTACTTTATTAACTCCAGCTACATATATATAGTCATTTTTATTACCAGACTGATTTTCCTACTGTTGCTTTTTTCCAGACGACTTGGGTTTTACTCAGAAGCCAAACTACTACTTTTGTGCATTGTATTTATTGGTGCTTTGGGTTAAGATTTCATTTAAAAAGAGATTTCCTAAAAGAATTTTGAATGCAACCATTCCATATGTTCAGATTCTGCAAAAGGTTGTTAGGGGGTCCAATGAAAATGTTTGCAAAAGTTCAGGTATTTTACTTTATAAAGCATTTTTACTTGACTACATTTTTAAAAGTAAAATTTCCAAGAAAGAACTGAGGGTAAACATGTACTAATCATAGCCTTTATATAAAGATAGCCTTATATTAATTTCAGGTGGATGTATTTTATAGCTTGTGGTTTCCAAAGAACCAATACATTTATTTAGAAAGACTGAAACACTGCTAAAACCCTTGTAATATAAAAATAACTCCAATGAAATAACTCCAATATGTTTCCAAATTATTTTCTGGTTACAGACTTATTTAACAAATCTGATTAAAGCAATGAATCTTTTCTCTAGAAAATGCACATATAGAACATGCAACACAATTTCCAGAATACGTGTGAATCCCAGTACTATGTCTTGATGTAATATCCTATTACTAATGGCCCTAACTTTAAGAGTATGTATTTTCAGTTCTCAGGGCCATGTAGCTAAAAGCCAACGGCACATGTTTTAAGTGCTTTAAAATGTCATCAAGTGCCAAAAATAACTCAAGAAATATGCTCACCTATTTTTTTCATCTTCCAGTTTTATTAGCCTATTTTTCTCTGATTCTAGCTGGGCCTGAAATCTACTGTTTTCCTGTCTTAAGAGAGAATTCTGTGACTCCATGGAAGACAGCTGAATTTTGTTGGCAAGGAGTTCTTCCGTAGCCGCACGTTCTCTTTCAACGGCTGCTGCCAACAAGGTCTGAGATTCACCTGCATGGAGGATAAAAAGAGAAAATTCACATATACCGATACCCAAGAGGCCAAGACACCAAGTAGTTCTGACTTTCAATGATACAAGTAGCCACACTTAAAACTCTTAACTGCTTATTGCCCAAGGCAGGACTTTTTCCAAATTTTAAACTTTTGCTCTATGTGAACAGGATGAAAAGACAAGCTACAGACTTGCAGAAAACAAATGCAAACCACACTATCTATCGAAGACTAGTATCTACAATATATAAAGAAGTTTGAAATCTCAGCAGTGAAAATACAAACAATCCAATTAGAAAATGGGCAAAAGACTTGAACAGACATTTCACTGAAGAGAATGCACAAATAGAAAATAAACATCTCAGCAATAAAAATAAATTAAAAATAAAAGCAGCACATGAAATAATGTTTAACATGATTAGTCATCAGGGAAATGCACATTAAAATCATAATAGATATCACTGCACACCTGTCTGGACGACTATATAAAAAACAGGGCCCTGGCCGGTGAGGCTCAGTTGGTTGAACATTGTCCCAGCACTAAAAGGTCAGTGGTTCCATACCTGGTCAGGGCACATACCCAGGTTGCGGACTCAATCCCCAGTATGAACCATGTAGGAGGCAGCTGGTCAATGTTTCTCTCTCTCACCGATGTTTCTCTCTCTCTCTCTCTCTCTCTCTCTCTCTCTCCCCCCTCCACTCTCTCTAAAATAAATAAAAACATATGAAAAATAAAAAACAGGGAGACACAAAATCCTGGCAAAGATATGGAAAAACTGCCCATGGACACAGATCATGGTGTGGTGAAGGCCTGGGAGGGGCAAGTGCAGGTTAAAGGGGGTCAATGGGGAAAAAAGGGGGGGGCGCACATCTGTAATACTTTCAACAATAAAGATAAATTTTAAAATAAGATATGGAGAAACTGAATTACTCCCATACAGCCATTCTGGAAAACAGTTTGGCATTTTCTTTAAAAACTAAACATACAACTATCCAAACAACTCAGCAATTGCATACTTGGGCATTTATCCAGAGAAATAAAAAACGTATGTTCACACTAAAACTTGTATGTGAATGTTCATCATAGCAGCTTATCTGTACAGACAAAATCTAGAATCAGCCCATACAGCCGTCATCAGGTAAACAAAACGTGGTACCTATATATGAAAAAACACCTAGTAATAAAAAACCTAATCATTGACACACACAATAACTTGGATACATCTCCAAGGAATTATGCTGAGCAAAAAAGCCAATCCCCAAATGTCAGCTTGATATCTTTATTATAGTGATGAAAACATGAACCCGCACCAAGTGGTAAAATTGTGTAGAACTTAATATACACACAGAAGCGCACACACACAAACGAGTACCAGCAAAATTGGGAAAATCTGAATAAAATCAGTAAACTCTATCAGTGTCAATACCCTGGTTGTAATATTGTAATTTTGCAAAATGTTAGCATTTGGATATACTGGAGAAAGTGAGAATTATTACTGCATGTATATCTACAATTACCTCAATAAAGCGTTTCAATTATACTGCATCTATGGTCCTATTAATAGCATCACAGGCTATGTGTGTCCTGTGGCTCTGCCTATATTCTACCACATATCCCCGAGAGCATGCGGACCCCAGTGTAAAAACCACCAACACGGGGCTTCTAGCCTCCACTTACTGCTAGATAGGTATTTGTTTCAGGGGTCATTTTCAGATACCTCACATTTCCTAACAAATCGGTCTCAAACTGACAGAGATAAATGACAGATCTAAAATGTATACATAAAAATTAAACAATATATGAAGAGTCATCTAGTTCAGTGATTTTCTTTTTAACCAGATAAGTCTTTTCTGAGACAAAATCCGACACGGAACTCAAAAAAAGATAGACAACGGAGGCACTACTTCCACTGTGGCAGCTGGCAGGCCCAGCACATCACTGAGGAGCTTCCCTGGCACCGGGACAGCCCTGAGGAGCCTGCGAGGGCCGTCTGAAAGCCACCAACTTACTTCATTGCTCAGGACTTCCAGTGAGTAGCCCGGAAAAGGGAAGTGACTCGCTTCAGACTGTCTAGCTGGATGACTCAAAACAAAACAAAGCAAAGCCTTGAGTCCAGGTCTGCTCTGATCACTACACCATGATGTCTCTCAAATTCCATGGACTTTTCATGAATTTGCTAGCTTCTGGGATATCTAGTATATACATATATCACCTGTCTGTGCTTGAATAAGCATCTTGGAAAAACAATTTTCTTTTTATTAACAGCACAGAAGGGCAAATTGGGGCATTCCTGTAAAGAAACAGAATATGAAATCTTAGGACTGCATAGCACCTGAATACTAGATTTATTTAACCTTGATCCTCCATAGACCTGGCTCTGCTCTTGGAGTTCCTCCACTGACTACAACATATCTATTCTGTACCTTCCACACTATTGCAGACAAGCTAGAAAAAGGTCAGATTTAGCAACAAACAAGGGGGAAACTGAGTGCAGTAGTCTGTAAAAATGAATGAAAAAATGACATGAAAGTAATTTAGACAGTATCTGATATGTTGTGTTAGGGAAAACAAATGATCTGAGAATCAATTAAGATATTAGAAAATATGCCGAAACCGGTTTGGCTCAGTGGATAGAGCTTCGGCCTGTGGACTGAAGGGTCCCAGGTTCGATTCCGGTCAAGGGCGTGTCCCTAGGTTGCGGGCACATCCCCAGTGGGAGATGTGCAGGAGGCAGCTGATCGATGTTTCTCTCTCATCGATGTTTCTAACTCTCTGTCTCTCTCCCTTCCTCTCTGTGAAAAATCAATAAAATATATTTTAAAAAAAAGATATTAGAAAATAAATGTAAAACAGGAAAAGAGGTGAAAATCTACAAGTCAGACACAAAATACAACTATCAGATCAAGTGAATTTCAATTTCAGACCATTCCCAATTCCATAGACAAGATGGAAAGGCTTCTGCATTGAGCTTAAGAACTAAAGCAGTTACCCAGCCTGTCAGAGAGATTCTTCTCTAACTTCTCCCACGACGATGTCTGGGACCCTAGTGTTGCCTGCAAATTTTCTATCTGTCGAAGCAATGGTCTTGTTGTTGACGAAACACTTTGACTCAGTTCCTGGTTTCGATTTTCTGCTTCCTGGAGTCTCTGAATTATGAAATTCTTAAGTTATTACCACTGACAACAATAAAAATACTAGGAAACAAACTTTATGGGATTTCTGGAAAAAATTATTTCTCCAAGATAGAATTACTTTTTGAATTAAATTATTTTATAATTATTCAATCCTTAAGTTAGAGTTATGTTGCATGATTATCTAAATAAGTGCTCTTTTAGAAAGCATTTTCTAAGATAAAGAGAGCCTTTGACCATCATAAGGTAAACACAAATATCGTCCAAACCTCCCTGTAGTGGCCTCCCCATCCAAATTTCTAAGTACTTATTAAGACAGGCAAGTTGATCGGAGTTGCATTGCCTCTCCCTTTTCCTATGCATGCTCACTGACTGGAACTGAATAGCAGGTAACAAAAACTGGGCAGTGCTCAGACTGATAATAATGAATAAGACAGCTATTACAAATGAAAACAATACTGAATAAATTTTTCATAAAATGATTTGCTCTAAAACAGAATTAGGGCTTTTCTTATATATTTTTAAGGTTCCAACTCTGATTTTATTCACACAAGCCACAAAAAAATAGCAAACAATACATATGGGAGTAATCTTCCCAATTCCACGAACATTACCCGCTGAGTCACTTTTTATTTCTAAAAGAACTGTGGCAGCACCTGCTGGAGTTCACTGATCTCATGGCGCAAATAATCCTCTTTTCTGGCAGCTGTTTGTTCTGCACGCTGCAGGGCCAGCCTCAGGTCCCCCACCTGCATGAGGAAAACCAATACACTATCACCGTCTCGAACATTGCCTGCTAACTACATATTCTATGTTCTATTGACTTACTGTTCATGTATAATACTCTATACTATCCAATGAGCTTTAACATATGATTATCACACATCCCATTCATCAAGCAATTCCGAAACTATATGTATGTTCACTTTGTACTAAGGAAAGTACTGTTAGGCTGTTAGGCAAAAAAAAATGTATGTGTGTGTATACAAGGCACAGCCGCTGCCCCATAATATAAGAGATGACGTATCCATATATGTCTGCAGTGCAGGCTGCATGTGACAGCTACCTGAGCTATGAGAGCTAGTCCTGAGAATTCACTCTATGGAAGCAGATCTCTATAAACACAGACATGTTTCCTATACTGTCAGCTACATCAACAATAACACACAAATCATGAAATATTGTAAATATCCATCAGTAGTCATCTATTTTTACAAGTCTCAATACAACATAAGCATACTCATTAAAAATTATGGTACATGTAAAAATGTATGATTTAATCTTAAATGAAAAAAACTGTAAAGTAATATATAAAGTATAAAAATATGTACATGGAAATAAGAACAAGAAGGTAACACACAAAATTGACAGTACTCCTAAAGGTGATGATTTTATGAATGATAATGCCCTACACTCTAATTTCCATTCCTCCAATTTTTCTTTATTATTTTATTTTTCTAGTGTATTTTTAATGTAAAACATTAATAAAATTTCTCTATCCCAGTGATAGAGTTGCAGAAACACAAGGGGAGTATGGACCATCGCTGACTTAACCCAAATATCCATTATTAAGAACTGACTGAATACAATGAAGCGTTATAACTGTAAAAAATAATTTTTTTAAAAAGCTTTAGGTTAAAACAAAAGTTCTATGTTCTAGTATGGAATAATCACAAAGATACTTTATTTTGTAAATAAAGCAAGCTGTCAAGAGTATAAATAGTAAACTATATATATTTTTTCTTTTTATCTTCCTTGCCTCTTTGCTTCATCAAAATGAAAAAACTTTTGTGCATCAAAGGACACTATCAAGAAAGTGAGACAACCTATACAGAATGGGATAAAATATTTGCAAATCCTGTATCTGACAAGGGTCTAGTATGTAGAATATATAAAGATTAATAAAAAGACAACCCAATTTAAAAATGGGCAAAGGATTTAAATATTTGAAAAAACTTCTCCAAAGAGGATACATAATGGCCAATAAGTACATTAAAAGATGCTCAACATCACTAGTCATTGACACCACAATCAGATATTACTTCACACCCACTAAAAGGGCTACATTGAAAAAAAATAGACAATAAGGAATACTGGGAAGGATGTAGAGAGATTAAAACGCTCATATATGGCTGGTGGGAATGTAAAATGATGCACGTTTGCAGAAAAGTTTGGCAGTTCCTCAAAAAAGTTAAATATACAGCTACCATATGACTCGAGGGTACATATCTAAGAGAAATTAAAATATATGTTCACACAAAAAATTATAAATGAAGGTTTAAAACAGCACTTTTCATATTAACAAAGAGTGTAAAAAATCCAAATATCCATCAACTGATGATTTTATAGGACAAAGTCTGACAAATTTGGGGATTCCTCATTCATCTGAGTTTCATGGAGTTACACAGATTCTCCTTAAATTATATGAATGCTTAGTATTTTTCTGAATACATGCATTTCTCTGGTAAGAGGTCCTTAGCTTTCATAATATTCTCAAATAAGCCTGAAATTCACAAAAAATTAAGCAATACTTGTATAATTTAAGCATCACTTTAATAACAGTTAAAAAAATACACAATTAAGTTAGCCTAACAGGATTATAAAGGAAATATAACAATGTACCACTAAAGAAGGTTTGACTCAAACTAACGGATTTTTTAATTCACAGAAGCACCAGGATCTAAAAAGCGGATGTAATTCATCCTCCACTGCGTACCTGAATGGCTAATGCTTCTTGCTGCTGACGGGCTTCTTCTTGGACCTTCTCTAGAGCTGCAGAAAGTTCTTCCTTAGCTTTCATTTCGTGACTCAGAGCAGCTTCCTGTGCCTCACTAGCCTTTGCAGCATTGGCTTTGTGGAGATCAGTAAGTTCTCTTAAAAAAATTAGGTTGGTAAGTTTTATTTAAAATAATATGCAGTAGCCCTGGCCGGTTTGCTCAGTGATTAGAGTGTCAGCCCACAGACCAAAGGGTCTCGGGTTCGATTTCAGACAAGGGCATGTACCGTGGTTGCAGGCTCCATCCCTGGCCCGTCAGGGCACATGTGTAAGGCAGTCAATCGATGTGTCTCACATCGGTATTTCTCTCTCTCCCCTTCCTCCTTCCCACTCTCTCTAAAAATTAAGGGATCCTGGCAAGTGTGGCTCAGCGATTGTGCATCGATCCAGGAACCAAGAGGTCATAGGTTTGATTCCCAGTCAGGGCACATGTCCGGGTTGTAGGCCCTAACCCCATTAGGCGTTCAGGAAGCAACCTATCAATGATGTTTCTTTCTCATCAATGTTTCTCTCTCTTGGGTGAGGATTAAGAAAAAAGATAAATTAAGTAAAATAATTTACAGTAATTACATGGCCAAGGATATGAAGGTTCCATGTAGATTTCCATCAGATTTACAGAATGAGGGAGAGTTCACCACATAATAAACAGTGACTGCAGTTAAGTACTCTCTGTTGAATTTGCTTTGAAAAGTTTCAAGTTCATTTATAGTTAAACTTACGTGTTGTCAGTGATCAGATAATAGAAAAAGGATTTCTTCAACATCCTGCATTTAACAGATTGTGAATGAGTTGCATATTTACTCATTTTCTTACTTGTATGCACTGTCAAGAGCAGCCTGAATACTTCGGTTCTTTTCTTCAAGTTCATTCATATCCACTTGAAGTTGGCCAAGATCTTTCTCTTGACGTTCGACCACAGAATTTAGTTTTTTAATATTTTCTCTATGTTGTTTCTCAACTTCTTCTTTACCATCAAGGACCTATATTATAAAAACAGGCAAAAGTATTCTTCGATAAATAACACTATGGTAAATAAGTGTATTCCAGGAATCTCAAGTATTATAACAACAAATAATAATCTTAACATTTGTCTATTAAATTGTTGAAAAATACTTCCCATGTGATTTATCCCAATAAATCATTCCAAATATTTTATAAGCCACAATGAACTGTTCATATAGTAATAACAATTTATATAGAAAACAATTAACATTCACCTGTTTCAAATGTTGCAACTCTTCTTCTAGCTCTTTAACTTTTTTCTTCAGCTTTGCAATAATATTTTCATTTTCTTTGTCTTTAGCTCTTAATTTCTTAATGATGTTAGAACTCTGCAACTGCTGTTTTGAAAGTTTTTCTCCTGGCAATGGCAAAAATGTATAAGTTCAAATAACAATGATTCCCTAAGAATCTAAATTGAATGTTTCTCTAAAAAGTGATAAAAAAATAAAAAAAAAGATAGGATGTTTTTAAAAATCACAATACTGTAAGCACCAATGTTTTCGATAAGAATCATTAATGAATGCTAGAATTAGTAGGTGGAAGCATGGTGGGAAACAGGATATATACAGTCTTAAAGAAGCATTCCCACATATTACTTATGAGTTCCAAAAGCAAAGATGTGCTTTTACAATGGAAAAATCTAGCAGTCACTACCATAACTAAACATTATCAATGATTGTGGTACAGCCTGACATTATGTGTCTACTGATGTGATAAAGTGGCAGGTGCACAATATCACTTATAATATTTCTTATTAGAAATGTGATTTGAATATAATCATGAAGAAAGTGAAAAATTTCTGAACCTGGGGCACTCTGTAAGACAACTGGCTGGGACTCTACAAAGTCTTCAATGTCATGAAGAAGATAGAGCTATCCTAGATTGATGAAATCATGGCCAAATGCAATGAAATAATGGCCAAATGCAATGTACAAACTTTGAATGGATCTTGAGGCAGGACAAATGACCAGCTATAAAGGTCATTTTTTGAGGCAATTGGGATAAATGATGAAATATATACTGGAATACACTTCTGATTTTCTTTTTTTTTTATTTTTTTTAATTCAATTTTTATTGTTCAGATTATTACATTGGTTCCTCTTTTTTCCCACCATAACTCCCCTCCACCCAG